CCCTCTACCTGGTCTCCCCTGAAGACAAGGCTCAAGAGGTCTGCCCGGGGAACAAAGATGCAAGAAAAGCACAGTGGAGCTGAGGTCAGGGAGGAAGAGGTCCGAGTATGCAGGGAAGGCTAATGATATCTTGTAGATGACCTAAAGCACTTTACTGACCACCCAGGGTAGCTAGTGGAAGTTTCCAAACCAGATTAACACCCTCCTTCTAAATATAAATTCCTCCATCTTTAAAAAGACAACTATACCCACTTGCCTTAAGGGATTACTTAGCAGAATGGAACTGTGAATCCTTGCAAAACACTCAGAGCTGATAGCTCCTCGATAAATGTTGGCTCCCTTCCCTAGGAAAGATAATCAAGCTTGAGGGATTATAGTTTTGCATGGATAGGGGGTAGAAACAAGATCCCCCCTTAGGAGCATATTATGAACTATAATTAGAACATTTCAGCAAGGATAGTGAGGGTCCTTAAGAAGGTAGTAGCAACATTAGTGATCAAGAAAAGGGTTACTTGTGAGAGATATTTGTGAGATAAATTCTAACTTGGTGATTGAGTTGATGTGGTGGTGATGAAGGCATCTAAAACTAACTGTACCCAAATCTCTAGATAACAAGCAGATCCACAGTACCATCACTAGAGAAGGCTTTCATCTATGAAATTTGAATTGGCTGTGTGATTTTTAGACGTATTACAGATGTTCAATAATCAGACAGCGTCTGGGAAAACTCAAGAGTTTGGGAAGCAGATGGAATTCCCAAGGTTTATAATATTTATACGATGAACACAGTAAACCAGTGGACCTGCAGGGATCGCTGTTCCACTGTGATGGCAAACCTGTGGCATGTGCGCTGTTTGTATGGCTGCCATAGCGCACCACTCTGGAAGGGCGTATCTAGGTTTCCCTCATAATATATAAAAATATATAAAATAGTGAATGAGATGCATGCAAACACACATACTCTGAGAAGCAAGATCATTTATCCATATCGTGAGATCTGTTTTAAAGGCTATAATTGCTCTGTAATAACTTGGAACATCTTTCTGGCGAATCTGTTTAGGAAAGACCAATAAACACGGGAGACCAAAGGACTCTGTCACACTTCATTTGGTGCTGGTTCCAGCCTGTGGATTTTAAACAGTAGATCAAAGTGCAATAGGTCATGCTTAGTATTACACCGACGTGACAGGCTACCTCGGAGAGTACTACGGAATGCTCCTGCAAAGTGGGGGAGAGAGGATGGAAACTTAAAGTGGTCATAAATCCTTCACCTGCATTTGATAGATATATTTATGGCCACCCTCTTCCCCATGTTAAGGAGCATTATGTTCATTACCAGGCTCTGCTTTGTTCCCACAAATGTGCTTTGAGAGCCTGAACAAAGGCCTTAGTCTTTACAGGTAATGCAGGGTTTGGGGTCCCTGCTCTCAGATGTCTCCCCAAGGAACAAGAAGAAAGAGCCCACAGAGGCCCTGAGATGGCCTTTTCATTTTGAAGCAACAGCATTTCCAGTGCTGAAGAGCACTAGGCCAATGGAAAGCTGATGGCAAGGTGAGGATGGAGCTAGGGGAGCGCCTGCCCAGGGATATTTTTTTTTTTTTTTTTTTTTGTAGAACTGGGGACTGAACTCAGGCCCTTGCACTTGGCAGGGAAGTGTTTATTCCACTGAGCCATCTTCAGAGAAGCTTCTTAGTGAGCCCTGGAGGTTAACATGGCCTTGGGGTAGATAATCCACCCTCTCTACCTCTTTAGCAGGAAAATCAAAGAAATAATGAAAATTTAATGACAACAAAACAGTACATACCAGATATCTCAGTGAGGACAATGGTTTCAAAAACTCCATGTTAGTCACGGTGCCAAACATGGATGAAAACTATATTAACATTAATTAATAGGACACAATTTCTATGTATATGATATTTATTTATTTGATACAGGGTTCTGCTATGCAGCTTAGACTTGTAGTGGTCCTCCTGTGTCAGCCTCCCTTGAGCTAGGATTATAGGCATGTGCTACCACACCCAGTTTCGGTGGCCAACACTGTACAGCATGCCCATGGATCCAGGGCCAGCATGGCTTGCAGTATGGGGATTGAACCCAGGTCCGTGCACTTGCCAGGCAGGCACTTAGACCACAGAGCTATCTCCCCAGCCTCTATGTATATTTTAAGCACTGGGAATTCTTTATTTTAACAAAAAATTAGCTCATATATTCAATAAAATGGCCCCAAATGACATTTAAAAATCAGTTGAGCAATACTACCAAAACAGTAAACACCTACATCTATGGAACTATGTCTCAACATAAAAGCCAACTGACTCAATCTGACAAGTGACAAGAAGGATATGTTTATAGATTTAAAAGCTGAAGTAATGACAATTTCTACATAATCATGGTTGGGTAGTCCAAATTTCCTTCTATAAGTTTGCAACCCTGCAATAATCAAAGGTAAAACTTAAAAAAGTGTTATGGTTTGTGTACAGGTGTGCCCCCAAAGCCTCTTGCAGTCATGGGGCTGGGGCAGCTTCTGGAGTTTGAGATTGATTATTGTGGGTGTAGATGCTGCACCTGCCCTGGGGCAGGTACTTGGCATTACAATGTAAGGAGGGGAGAGAGGCTAGCTGCTTGAGCTGCTGCTACTCCCCGCTGTGCTTTCTTGCTCTTTGCAGCCCCCCTTGAAACAGGCTGTTCTCTGCCATGAGTCGCTCTGCCTTGGAGCCAGCTTAGTGTGGACTGAAACCTCCAGTAACTATGAGCTAACTAAATCTTTCCTTCCCTCATTTTGAGTGTCGGGTGTTTGTCCCAGCAATGAGCATAGAGTAACTAAGACAGAAAGATACAAGGGAAAAGTTATATAGGAGAATTAAATGAAAACTTATCAGAAGACAATGAATGTTCCCGTGACTGTTCACAAAACCTGAATAACAACTACACACAAATACATCTGCACACCATTCGCTCTCTAGTTCAGCACCTCGATAAAACGCATAGGTTCAATTTCAAAGTCTACATGTCATACAGTATCTCAGAAATTCATCTGATTGGGTAGGGAAAATCACACATGAATTTCCAGTATTCACCTAAAATTCTTTTACAGGTAATTACAGGTGTAAGTGTACACACACCCTGTACATGCATAACATTCATAATATGCATCACGATAATTAACACTACAACCAAACTTCAATCGACATGCATTATCTTCCATGGGAAAAGTGAATGACACTTAGAGCTCAAGTTGCCGTATTTGATGCAGAAATGTTAAACAGAAGTAATTTCAATTTCCCAAGTCAAACACACTTTTGAAGTCTTGTAACCTTTCTGTCTGATTCCCACTTGCTATTGGCAGAAAAAATTAGAAACAACTTTCCAATGCCTGCCAACAATATTGAGAGGAAAAAGAAAGAAAACATGATAAAAAAAGTTAAACATTTACTGATAGATTAAGTGTGCTGAGATAATGATAAAAATTTCATATACTCTATTTGAGTTGCTCCTCAGGTGAACACAGCTGACACTCCTCACACTGCCTCCCTAGTAGGCGCTGCTTCCTATGTCCTAGGGCTGCAGAGAAGATGCCATAAGATTCATTACAAGAAAGAGCTCTGTAAACTGCTATTAACTAACAAGTCAATGATAAAGGCCACATTTAGAATTAGACAAAATGATTCTGAAAGATAAGGAAGATAAATTGAGTAACAAAATAAAAAATGTATGCTTATTAATATTATGTCACACGAGGGCCTGAGAGATAGCTCAGCGAATTAAGCACCTGCTTAGGCAAGTACAGGGACCGGGGTTCGATCCCCAGTACAACACACCATGCCAGCCCTGCCCCTGGGTGCACTGAGCTGGCCACTGAGAACCAGCACGGTGGTGCACTCCTGTAATCCCAGCGCTGGGGAAGCTGAAAACAGGAGGGTCACTATGAATCTGAGCAGTGTAGTAAGACCCTGTACGAAATACATAAAAAAATAAAATACTATG